CAAAAATTCTTTTTTTTTTTGGTGTACTACAGAATAACACACCATTGTTGCAAGCAAAGATTGTGTCAAAAACAAAACAAAAAAACCTGTGTGGTACACATATAGTTTAACAACACCCAAAACAAATCGAGCTTCTCAACTGGGCACAGAAAGCACAGTCTGTACGACATGCAATTCTGTAGGTGATCTATTTATGAAGAGGAACTATAAAGCTGTTTTGTAGTTTGTCGTCACATGAAGTTCTGCAAGGTGATATGACAGCAGACAGCACTGGCTTAGAGTTTCAAATAAAATGTATTATTGCCTTCCACACATATGCAAAATTAACCCATTTCTATAAAAATAATGCTGCTATAACAAGTGCTGTTACCTGACTTTAGAATTCCCTTTCAATTACTGTTATATAACTGCTTTCATGAACAAGATTATTAACATAAGATATTAGCACAGCTCACTCAGCATCACTAAAAGATGGTGGGTTCACAGCACACTAGTACTTGAGCTCACCCTGCATTGTGTCATTAGGGATTGAGGCCTGGATACACAAAGGGATTTAGGCGTTGCCACACCTATTTTTAGGCACCCAGGGAAAAAAATCCATAGGAACAGTGCTAAGTCTGGGCTGCAGGGAGGTGTCTTGCTCTGAGTAGATCAGGGGTAGGCAACCTATGGCACGCATGCCAAAGGCAGCACGCGAGCTGATTTTCAGTGGCACTCATACTGCTCGAGTCCTGGCCACCGGTCCGGGGGGCTCTGCATTTTAATTTAATTTTAAATGAAGCTTCTTAAACATTTTAAAAACCTTATTTACTTTACATACAACAATAGTTTAGTTATATATTATAGACTTATAGAAAGAGACTTTCTAAAAACATTAAAATCTATTACTGGCACACGAAACCTTAAATTAGAGTGAATAAATGAAGACCCGGCACACCACTTCTGAAAGGTTGCCAACCCCTGGCGTAGATGATCTACGAACCGAACCCCTCTCCTGGAGTAAGACAGCTTAAGCACCTACATAGCTTCTCGGGCAGCTTCCTCGCTCCACACAAAACAGCAGCACCAGTGCCATGCCTACTCACCTGATTGCTCTAACCAATGGGCTAAAAGATTTGCCAGTGATGAACCTGGATCTCCCAAAATTCCCTTCTCTGCCAGACAGGGAAAGAAAGGATTCTCAGAAGAGTGCTCTAAAACTGCTGAGCTATGGGATATTCTGATGTGGTGCTCCCTCAATCTCTCCTGTAGAAGCTGTTCCATTGGGGATAAATAATGAAAGTGATTGGAGCAGGGGGACAGGACCTATGGCCTCCCACCTCCTAGGTGAGTTCCCTAACCACTGGGCTCAGTTGAACAGGCATTGGGTGCATGAGCAAGAAAGAGACTCTGTATCCCGGTGGTTAGGGCACCCACCTGGGAAGTTGGAGACAGAGTCCAATCCCCCTGCTCCAATCACTTTCATTATTTATCCCCAATGGAACAGCTTCTACAGGAGAGATTGAGGGAGCCCCCACATCAGCATATCCCACAGGTAAGGGCTCTAACCACTAATCTGAGAGGTAGAAGACCCTATTCAAATCCAGGGATTGAACCTGGGCCTCCCACATCCCAGACAAGTATTCTAACCACTGGACTCAAAGTTCTAATCTGGCTACCACCACTGTCATCCTGGCCAGATTTTGAATAGGATTTGACCTGATAGGTAGCCTCTCAGTATACCTACTGGATCTCCTAAGAAACATGTACTCTAAAAAAATATAGGCATTGAGTGAATTTCAGCACCTACAGGATTCAGTGCGAGTTTTGTGGATCACAGTGCAGGCAAAAAACAGGATTTAGGTGTCTAAATCTGGGATTTAGGCACCTAAGTAGCTTTGTGGATTGGGGCCTGAGTAATCAGTGCTTTCCCAACACCCACTGAAAATACAATGGGAACTGTGGGTGCTTAATAGCTCTCAGGATAAGGGCCTTGATGAAGATTATACTAGTGAGGATATACTTTAAACGTGAAGTTAGCTCAGAAGGTTTCTGGTGATGGTTCATGTGCACAGAAGAGTCAGATGTCATTTTTTGACAATGAGGGAATAACTCTAGAGACCCAGCCAGAAATACTCCCTAATAGCCAAACTGTGTATGAGCTGTTGGCTCTGCCAACAATCAATACATTAGGAACATTAAACTTTTCTGTCACTTTCTGATTCAAGATATGGAGTGCATAAAATTGGCCATATTGAAATAAATTATATTCAATACAATTCCAATAAAAGTGATACTGAAGGTATGTTCACAACTTAAATTGCTTTTTAAAAAATGCATTGAGTATCAAAGGAGTCATTTATTACATAATTTTCTCCCTCTTCTTCAAATAATCTCTTTATACTAATCTCAATTGCATAAACTCTGTACCTGAGTGTGGTCCACACAAGACTAACATAAAAGATTTTATGTTTCTGGCATATTACAAGTGTAGTATTTTATGGTTAACACTGCTGCAAAACCTTTTCTCAGGATATTGTGAAATGCAAACTCTCAGCTGAAAGACACACTGGGCAAGATACAGAAAATATACAACTCACCACCAATGCTGCCACCTACAGAGTATTAACAAGTGCTATATTGTTAAAGTCAAATGTGCAGAATATCATTCATCAAGCCTTTTCAGTTCAAGTTACTATCTACATGGTACGTGCAAACATCATTCCAGTATAAGTAACAAAAAGGAAGGAATATTAGCCAAATACTCAATAGCTAAAAAGATAGTTTTGTTTTTTTAAAAACACGCAGCTATGTCAGTTCAAGGTTTTACTTTTCCTTTCAGTTAAAAACATTGTAATTACAAGTCCTTCTGTGAATAAACTGATGCAACCACAGTCATCTGTGAAGTTTTTCACTACAAGATTGTTGATCTCATTTTACTTCTACTCTGTAAAGTTTATGACAACTCATCCACCTTCATTATACATGTTCCTGTATCACATCAATTCTTTTACTTTCCAGTTCTAAATGCAATATGCTCTGTTGATAATGCTATACCGATACAGAAAATTCTACACAGATATAGAAGACAAATATTAAATGATATGCTGAGTTTAGTTTAGAAATACTTAGAATGGTTAAATGACTGGAAGAAGTGTGCTGTGACAGTAGTGTGGCATGCATGAATGAACATGTACCAAACATCAAAATTCTCTCAGATACTGGCAATCACTTCCTAATTTGTATTGCAGTTCCTAATGAAAGAATGCAGTTCACATGTAAAGGTCCTATTCATAGACTCATTACTTCAATGGCAGCTTTGTCTGAGTAAGGACTGTAGCAGCTTGCCCAAAATCATGTAAATGTGTCTAGTATAAAAACTCAGAACTAGACTGTCAATTTACTTACAGTTTTCAGAGTAGCAGCCGTGTTAGTCTGTATCCGCAAAAAGAACAGGAGTACTTGTGGCACCTTAGAGACTAACAAATTTATTAAGAGCATAAGCTTTCGTAGAATTGCATCCTAAGACGTGGGTTTTAGTCCACGCAAGCTTATACT